TAGTTTTCGAAAATCTAAATCGGGTTCTCGAATTGAAGAAGGATGGGATGCTCTCTTTTTTATTGCTATTTTCCTTAATTGTGGTGTTAAGGTCATCATTAAGATTTCTGTCATCTTTGTGTTTTTATAGTCATGTGTATTTAATGAATATGCTTTTCGAACTAGTGTTTCGATTCGTACTGCTATTTGCTTGATGGTTTCGTTTGGTAATCTGCGAATTTCATTACATAAAACTCTTTGTTGTTGTTTGTTTCTTTCGGAGTCAAACATTTTTGAAAATTCTTGTGTAAACCTTTTCCAGTTTGATTTTATTTCTAGAGGTAGTACTGAAAACCATTTTTGGGCTGCGCCATCTAAGGTTGTTTGTATTAACGCTGTGCGTCGATGTATCCAATTTTGATGTAGTGGCGTATTAATTGGTTCAGGTCCAATATTTAAAATCAGGTTTGCTGTTACTGCATTTAAATAATCTTCTACAGAGTATTCAGGGTCTGTTCCTGTGAAAACCATTAAAGGTTTGTTTGATGTTATTGATGATCCACCCATAAGGTATGGATTCATTGTCATTTGTAATGATTCTGCTGCATTTGGCATTTGAGAAAAATTTGAAAGTTGGTTTCTTGTTATTTCATGTTGTTGGAGATAATATGGGAGTGGTATTTCATTTTGCATTTGTGATGGTTGATACGAGTGTGCAGTCATTGGATTTTGTTGTTGAATTGGTTGAAAAGATTGTGTATTAATTGGATTTTGTTGTTGAATTGGTTGTTGATTTTGTGCATCTATTGGTTGTGGAGAAAAATTTCTATGATTTGTACGTGTTCTCTGTATTCCTTGTCTACGATATTCTTGAGTATTTTGTGCAAATATATCTGGTTGTAAGAAATCATCATCTGAGGATAAATAATCCATTTGATAAGATGTCTGTTTTTTATTTTTATTTTGTTGAAAAAATGGGTAATTTTCACTGTGATCCCGTGGAGGATTTGTTTGGAAATTTGTTGAATTAGGTTGGGCCATTGGGTTATCCCAATTTCGAGATCTTGTATATTGGTTAAAATTTCTTTGTGGTTGATTATATGTTTTTGATGGATGTGTATAATTATAATTATGGTCTGCAAAGTTGTTTCTAGTGAATGTTTTGCGTGTTTTTGATGGTATTGTCATGGGTCTGTATGTTTGGTAATCCATATGTGAATATTTAGGGGCAACCGAAGGTTTAACGGTTGATTGTAAGGTTACCTGTGTTTGTGAAGGATTTGTATTTCTTGGTGTTGTTAAATTTGGGCGTATTGGTGAAATACTTTGTTGTGTAGTTGTTGTGTGTACAATTTCTTCATTTATGAAGTGTGATGGTGTCTGGATATCTTGTTGAGTAAGATTCCTAGTTCCATTGAGGTTTTCGTTGTGTATGACTGTCGAGTTTAAACTATTATTTTGTGTATCGGGTAAAAATGTATTATAGTTTAATGGTGTTGCATCAATTGTTAATGGTATTACTCTTACATAATCTCTTATGTAAGATATTGTACCTATTGCTTGACTTGAGATTGATTGTGGAAAGCTTATAAATACGGGATGAGACCATTCGGGGTCCCAAACATAATCTGATTGTTCTGTGATAGCGGTATCATCGTTCGAATTTTGGGGTCTAAAATTTTTTCTTGCTTGTGCAATTAAATCAATATTGTGTGTGAAATAATCTATTATGAACCATGCCAAAATTTTTTGTAGATCGTGTTTTGTATGTTGTGAAACGTCGTCTTTCGTGAAATTTTCTTTAATGATGTTTAAATAACTAGAGAGTAGTGTGATTTCATGTCGTACTTTCAAATGTTTAGATGTTTCTGTCGGTGAGACATTTGTTATTGGGGTTTCGTTCTCTAATATTGAAATATAACTATATATTATTGCGAAAACTTCATTGGTGAATATGGAGTTTGCTCTTTGTGAGTTATGATATTGGATGCTTTTTATATATTCTGAAAAAACTTTTGAAAATTCTAAATCAAGATCGTCTGTTTGAATTGTATATTTTCTATTATTATGGTTTGGTGAGGTGAATTCTATGGAGTAGATTCCATACTGTTGTGTTATGTTGCATATATCTTTTAGATAGTGATCTATGATTTGTCTTTTGATTTTTACATCGGGGAACTCTGTTTTACATGGACTGATTCCGGGTTCAAATAAATTTACGAGTAAATTTTGACAAAATATGTGTTGTCCTCTATCAGTGTCTGCGTCTACTATAAAAGGAAAGATTTCATCATCATCTGGAGTTTCGTCACCTGGGGTGTGCGTTGAACTCATTTTTCCGTTCGATGACTGTTAATATGTAATTATTAATGTGTCGAATTGGTTGATTCCAATTGTATAGATGTACTGGTTTGTGTTTGTACTGTTTTTTTATTCTTCTTTTTCCTCTTTGTGATGAATTTGAAGTTGTTTCTGAGTCAGAAAAATATAATTGATCGTGAATTGGGCAATTTTTATCTATTGATTCTTTTAGTTTGTAGAGTTCGTTTAAACTGTTGGTTTCTGATTCTGAAAATGCGTTTCGATTTTTTGAAAATCTTTTTCGTGTTATTTGTCTTTGTTTAGTTATTATTTTTCTCTTTAGTGTTTGTCGTTTTGTTCGAATGTATCCAACTGTTTTTGTATGAGGTGTGATTACAAGGTCGTATTTTTTGTTATCTATTTCACAATTGTGTAAAACGATTGTTTGTTTATTTCCTAGGTTTTTAAATGACATAAGGTTTAGAATGACGGATGCAAAAGGTTGTTAAATGATTTCTATTTTCTTAAACTGTTAGTTCTTACGATTTTTTGGTTAGCTTAACCTGGGTCTATTTGTTCAGGGTTGGAGAGAAAAGTATATCGATTCCGAAGAATGATTTTTTACTTTCTCGTGGCTAGTATAAGTTAAGGTGTTAACTTACTTAATCTTACTTAGGGGTAGTGATTGTGTTCAAGGGTTGGAGAATAGTAAATCGATCCACAAGGTTCAGGTATAATTAGAACGCGAGTAGTTCGTTAGATACTATTTTAAACTTACTAAGTCTAAGATTTATCCTGGGTCTGGTAAGAGGGGGGGTCAAGTGAAGGATGAATAACCGAAGTTCTTCACTGTTTATCCTAATTTGAATGATTAGTTTTGTTTAAAAATTTCTATTAGTCTTGGGTCTTTAGAAAGGGTTGGGTAGTGAATCGACGTTTGAGGTCGTTAGACACTAATTAAGTGGGTGGGGGAGAACAAAGTTGTTCTGTTTGATCCAAGGATAAGCCTTGATGATCAAATTTGAAATTTAATTAAGTAGAAAATGATTTAAGATCCAAGGATAAGCCTTGATGATCTGGTTTTAAAATTAAGTGAATTTAAGTTTTAATAAAATTTTAAATATGTGTAAAGGAAAGATTTAGTGTTTTGATGATATTAGTGGGTTTATGATTGCTGTTATGTTTTAGGTGATGGAGCTGGAACAACAGGATGATTTATGATTACTAACCATTTATTGTCATGCTACTAATTTTTATTTTTTATTTTTCAATAAATATTTTTCAAACATGTTTTGTATATTACTGCAGAATTTTAGGAGAACGATCTTAGATCTTTTTATCAATCGTTATTGTATATTAATAATTTTGTTTAGCGCCTGAAATGATTTTGAAGAGTAACTTCAAGGTTTTATGTTTGCAAATGGAAATCTAAATTCATTGCAAGTAGTATTCGAAATATAAAAGTTTGTTCTGGCTTTTGCCGAACTATCATATAACTATACGGCAAGTTTCTACTTTGTCGTATGTCGTCTTTGGTTCGAGGTCTTCTTCCAATTCCGGGTAGTTCTATTATGGTTCGGAATATTGGCTCTGATCTATTGAGTCGGAGAGACATTTCAATTAAATTATTGTCGTATAACATTTTGTAAATGTTTTTGTTTAATTTCTAATCTATTTTTGGTTAATTCTAATCTAGTAAGGTCTTGTTCGAGACTTATGGTCGCACCAGATGAGTTAGGACCGAGTTGGTTAACTCATAGAGTAATTTCGGATAGGGTACACCGTCTGCTCGTCACGCTATCTTATTTTCGGCCGGATAGATTCGTGCAACTTCTTAGTCTAATACCGATCCTAATCTTACTCTTATACTATCTAGTCTCAGGTTGTTTAACTAGTCTCTGCTAGGCTCAATAGATCTAGGGTATACTGGTTTATTGCGGCTGCTGAAGTGCTCGGGAGAGTCCAACTAATTTCTAAGTTAAATTCAAATCTCTCTGGTGCTGAAATTACAAGTAACTTCAGCACTTACAAATAAGTGGGTTGTTAGTTAGATGGATCATGATTGGTTAATATTAAATACTTTACATTGGTAAAACATTTAATTTATCCAATCATAAAATGTAGTTTAGATCAGGTTCCAATAGATACATTTCACAATAAGCGTCTTAGTTTTATTTGAAGTGTTTCGTCAATAAATTGGGTGGCGCTATTTTCATCTTTAAGGACTAGTTTGTGGCTGGTTAATGAACGTTTATTTTACATGGTCTCGAAACCACAATCGGCTGGAAAAAAACTTTACGACATAGTTTCTTCCAGTCACTTAGTGATCTAGCCGGATCTAAACTAATACATTCACCTTAGAAGCAGCGAAATCAGAACAACTATCCTTTTAAATAGCGAAGTCTCCTCGCGTACTTGCCACCTAGCCTTCCTGACTCTTTTACGACAAATATTTTTGGCTCAATTGACTGAAATTCATTTCTGGGGCGATTTTATTATCTATTTTGAGGGGAAACGCGCCGAAAAAAATCAACTCATTTTGTCAAAACTTGTTAAAAATAGCTCAAAACGGTCTTCTTAATTTTTGTTTTGCGCACATTTTTGGCGCACATTTTATTAGAAAAATGACTTATTTTGATTTGGGAAACCCCAAAAAATCCGCACTCCCCGCTGGAGAAAATCGTAAATCCGCATCTGATCATATTTAAACATGTGTTTAGATTAGCTCAAGATCATCACAAGTTTTACCTCAATTGGACTTTTCTGGACTTGCAGGGACATTATAATTCTGAGCAAGGCTACGGAGGGGGAAGAGGTTTCGTTGGAGATCACCAGGAGCGGTATGGAAGTGGCAGTGTCGCAAATCTTAATGTAAGTGCAGTTAATGATGATCAGAGGGTTTGGGGGGAGCTCCGGTCAATAATCAGTCAGGGAGGGTTCATATTTTGCGTGCAGTTTGCCTTATGGTCGGTCAAAATGGCTACGTGGGAGTGAGACTCTAATTATGAGTAAAGAACGCAGTGAGTACTCTTATAAGTCTTGCTGATTTTTTTTTGTTTTTTTTTTCAGGATTTGTTCATGCTCAATTTTGATTTTTCGCGGTTTGACTTGTGATTTCTTTTTAAGATCAGTGCATTTCTATATTGTTAAAAGGAATGGAACTCCATTTTTGAACAGCAAAATTGTAAAGGTCGCGAAAAACGTGATTGAGTTCTTATTTCGAAAATAGAAATTAATTATCAGATTTCCCTGCGAAATATAAGTATTACTTATTGATCCAGTTTTCTCAAATTGCGTTAATTTAAACAAAAAAAACTGTCCATCATAAATTGTTTTACAAATCCAAAGAGCTTTAAGGCCATCTTTTTTTCTTCGAAATTCAAAAGTTCAAAAATGTTTGAAAACTTTTTTTTTCAGTTTCTTTGCGTTCATTATTCTTTTGCAACTGTTAGTTGGCTATGTTTTGGAATTGCAAAACCGTGTTAGCACCAGCGGCCGAGTGGAGTAAGGCAAGCGTCGTTCAACACGGTGGTCGTGCGATAGAATCCCACTTTGGTCACGGTTATAGGGGTCTCTGTGTCATCCGCCTCCTCAAGGTGGGACCGGCAAAATGGATGATATTACCCTCCCCACAGTTGATCGGGGGCATTGAGCAGACCGGGGACTAAGAAAAAAATTGTGGTAGCACAAATAACGTGAGGTGTAACTTGAATATCTGGTAGTGTATTGTGAAAATACTGTGGTCATATCTCAGTCGAGATACATTATAGCAAACATCAGGATTAAATCGAATCAACTAGACAAAATCTTTTTCTAGCTGAGAATGGAATTAGGAACCCTGAATTTTGGGTTTAATTGTCTATCAAAACAAAACCCGTCTGTAACAAATCGTTACCTTATTATCAAGTATGATAATATTCTCAATTTCCAAAAAGACTGACAAGTTTTTAACTGGTTTGAATTCAAACCAGTAAAACTAAAATTCTAAACAGTTTTGACGGACAAAATTCAAGTTATGTTCTTACTTCTGCAGTTTTCAAAAATACTGGGCTATTTTTGATTTTGACTTGTAAAATTCAAAACATCTTTTTGATATTGTGTTTTATAAAAAGCAGAAGAACTTGAAACAAAATCAACATGTTTTTGCTTGCATTCGAGACAGTTTCTAGTAGTTGAGCTTAGAGTGTTGGTAAATATGTTTAACCCGTGAAATAAACACCGAAATCCATTTCAAAGAAGATGAAATGTCGAAGTACTGCGAATTTGTCCTAATTTTAACCAAGAGTTATGGTTCAGAAACAGCATTTTGAAGTATTTATCGAGCATTTATTTTATTGTTTTTGTTTCTCTCAAGTTGTAGCTGCAATGTCAGAGTAAAATTTAACCTGATTCAAACCCTAAATTTTAAACAATTCTTGAAACCCATTTTGATCCAGCAAAAGGCGGTCGGTTCCTCAAAATATCTCGTTTTATGTCATGATCATTTAGACGAAATGAGGAGTTTTTTTTACAATAGGATCATTTTGAGAATGCGTGAGAGTTTTTTGATATAATTTTTAACCCATGCTAAAGGTATGGTATTATACAACAAAATTTGGCTGCTTAGTTTAGTAGTACAGCTTTCTCAAACGCTATTCTGTGATCGAATCATGATTCGCGTTTAGAGATTCAGTGTTTGATCATTGAAAAGTTATGACCACAGAGTTACTATATTGCCATCTAGTTTCGTACTAATGTAAATTTTACTGAGGAAAATTTTGCGTTAAGTGCAGATTTCTTATAGGTGTAAAATGAAAGTCCATTGAGGTAATCCTAGGTAAACATAAGGCAGAGTTACGTTCTGTTGAAATACTTCTGGGAGTTCCGTCTGGTTAGCCGATCATTTCATAAACTTACTTTGAAGTCAATCACATAATGCAGTTTCTAATTGGTTCTCTGATTTCGATTCTTTTCTGTTTTTTTTTTTGTTACTTGCTGAATGACCATTGAGATAGTTGTAATTCAATTCCTGTCGATAGTAGAACTTGAGCAGATCTCAAAAATCGGGTTTGCTTTAAATAAGCTGACAATATCGGTAATGTAAACTAGTGAGCCTGTCAAATTACCCCCATTCGACTGTACTACTGTAGGTTTGTTTGGAAATGAACAAACAAAATGTAACTTCGCAATAGTGTAAGTTGTACTTGAATTGAACTGAATAATAACTGTTTTCAGGCTGTTTATAGTTACCTGTGTACAATTTCAAGATTAAAAAAGTGTTACAATTAAACGAAAGTTGAACTCATCAGAAACCGAGTAGTGCTTTTCTCAGGTTATAGCTTTTCAAGAAATTGAATTGAGTCTTATTAATCTAGCCATGAAAATTTTTCTGCTTATTTTTTTGCTAAGTTTTATTTTTAATAGAAACTGTTTTTTTTTCGATAAATATGATATTTTTTTTACTCAAGATAATTTTTTGCTGAAGTTATTCACACATTTTTTGATGCTCTAACTATCCTATGCATGTGATTTTTGATTTTGTTGAGTGATTTTTTAGAATTATGCTTCAATTATGCAATAGTTGCCTACCGAACTTTCGGCTGATTGCACTATTTGTTTGTCGAGTGCTCTTCGCACACCTGTTGTCATTTAGATCGCCATTCTGTGTCAGAACCCGTTTTGATATTGTCCGTTTGAAACCTCATGTGAAGAACTGTTAAACCAGTTTGTACCTTATAACTGGAGTAAGATTAATACAGCTCGTACCGTTAGTTGTGTGAACAGAGTTCTTATTCAATGCTATCCTAGCCGAAAGACTGTGCGGCCGAAATAGAAGCGGGAAGATTGGTTGTTTTGTTTTATTTTTTTAATGAAGCAGAGAGAAAGTTTGACTTAAAAAACAGACTAGTAGTTATCGAGAATCTTCCGAAAAAAGAACTTTTCCATCTGTTAAGTAATTATTTCTCCGTTTTCACTCGTGAAGTTAGTTTCAGTTTAGGCGAAGTGGGAGTTCGATGAAATATTCATACTTTCTGATCTTCCTTTCATGTTGTTCAGTGCAGAAATGTGAGTTAAATAGGTTTGCTTAAACTGAGCCCGTAGTGTTCTAGTCCCCATTCGCCTATTTGCTTTTCCCTAGCTCAAACACTGAATGGGTCTGAGAATTATCACGAAATTGTATGGGTCACTTTGCAATGTTACTACAAAGAATTTACGATGGCGTTGTTTTTAATTTGTTGTAGATGTCACAGTAAAAAGTCGTTGGTATCCTCGCATTATCCAGAATCTAAATGATTATAAATCGTGAGAGTATTCGATAAAATATGTGATCTATTTCATTAAGATAAATCAGTTTTAGCATCACGATTTCATCTAAGAAGTCGTTGCTTAAATAGTTTTTGGGGAATCTATAGATAGTTCAAGTTTACAATGAGTTAATTTCACGCGCAAATTTTAATAACTGTTTACTTTTACATTAAATGGAATTATTACATGCAACTGGATAACACGATGAGGCTTGGTACTGAAGGTATGTTATTTTTTTTTTCATTTCAATCTAAATATGATTTGAAAAAGACAATGGCCAATGTTTAACTTCAAAGGAATCAACTTCATGTCGTTTCTGGGATAGTGTAGATAGATATGCACACAGTCGCAAACTGAAGCATTGTTTTGCGTGGCTACTTTAAACCGGTGTCTAAAATACGTTTAGTTGAGAAGGTATTTGAGTTCTCGGCGTGCATCTATCGATATCAGAAGGTTTTTGTTCTCACCATGCCCATGAGTGTGAATAAACTATGGCCTTCGGTGTGTGTTTTCGCGCATTTTAATGTCATATGGACTCTAGTGACATGCATCATAAAACACTTTCTATGTTGATTTGCAATCCAAAAACAAATACCAGAAAATTTGTTCCGTTGTGGAGAGGAACTGGTCTGCTTATTTTCATTTCTAAGAGTTATTTTCAGCAAGAATTTACAATTGTAATCCAATAAATCAGCCTCTTCCAATTTGTTGCAGTAGGATTTTTCAACCATTTTTAGGCTCATTTCAGGCTAATTAACTAAAAAGCCGCGCAGAATTCGAAACAGAAGTAAAAAAAACTTCAAATCATGTATCACTTATTTAGTGTTTTTTTTTCTATTTTTGCATTTTTAGGAAGTCTTATAAGGTGTTCAAGCCCAATTTTGACTCTTTGCAGTTGGATGTTAGGTTTCTCGTTAAAACGAAGGGCAACTTCCGCTTTTCAATAACAAAAGTGCAAATGACGCGAGAAAATTAAAATGGTCTTCAGTCTTCAGAATTCCCAAGCAATAGAAAAATAACATTAAGAACCAGCTTTCTCTAAGTGGGTGAATTTTTTAAAAATAGGTGTGAATGATGAACTTTAGTTGAAATTCGAACATCTTTGGCTTGAAATATGTTTTCTCCTTAAATTCTAAAACTGAAAAAAGGCAACTAATAAGTTCTTTCTGTTTCCTCGAGTTCATGGACACTACTTCAACTGTCTGCTGACTATATGTTTTGGCCTTGTTTTTTTTTTCCGAAATAGACATTTGTTTTCCATTTAAATCGAGAGTGCAGTCAAAAGAATCATTGTACGTTGATTTTCTTGATTGCGCTTCCGTTGAATACAGGCTTCTTTCAGGTTGAGAACTTGTTTCACAAATCACTTGAATCATTCGATAGCTTGAATTGAAAAAAATCAAACTCCTTAGATTCTTCAGTGGGTTAGCATAGAGTAAACTATCACGCGTGGAATTGCAACGGTCCTGTGTTCGAATCCGGGCAGGATCTGTTTTTTTTTTCAGTGAAATTTTCCTGTTTATAAATTGTCCACCTATAGTCTGTCTGTTTTTCTGGCTTAGTTGCCACACCATGATTTTTTCTTG